ACTAGTGACTTTAAAATGTCCCTCCCATCAATAGATAGATCCTCCAAACAAAAACTAAATTAAAAAGCTATTGAACTAATAAATACAATTAATAATTTAGGCTTAACAGATATATATAGAATATTTCATCCATCAAGGACCAAATACACTTTCTTCTCTGTAAAATAGCCCATATCTTATGCCTCAAAGCAATTCTTAGCAAATATTAAAAAAGAGATAATACTTTGCATTCTATCAGATCATAATGGAATGAAATTAGAAATCATGACAAGATAAAAAGAATAGAAGCTACTCTAACACCCAGAGACTAAATAATACACTATTGAATGACCAATGGTAATAGGAGAAATCAGGATGAAATAAAAAAAAAAATACTTAGAGGTAAATGAGAATTATGACAAGACTTATCAAAATCTCTGGGACACTATGAAGGCAGTGCTAAGAGGAAAATTCATTGCACTGAGTGCATTCTTTAAAAAAAAATAGAAAGTCTCCATATAAATAACCTAACATTTACATCTCAAAGCCCTAGAAAAAGAAGAACAAATCAACCCTAAAATCAGTAGAAGACAGGAAATAATTAAAATCAGAGCCAAAAATCAATGAAATTGAAACAAATAAACAAAAGAAAATAAAAAATAGATAAAACAAAAAGTTGATTCTTTGAAAAATAAATAAAATCAATAAACCCTTAGCCAAGCTAACAAAGAGAAAGAGAGAGAAAACTCAAATCACTAAAATTTATGATGAACAGGAAATATCACCATGGACACTATTGAAATTCAGATGATAATCAAAAAATATTTTTGAAAATCTATACTCCAATAAAAAAGAGAATCATGCTAACATGGACAAATTTCTAGAGACATGATCTACCCAAATTGAAACAGAAAGACATGGAAAATTTAAGCAGATCAATTTCAAGCAATGAAATTAAAGATGCCATCAAAAGCCTACCAACAAAGAAAAGCCCAGAACCAGATGGATTCTCAGCCAAGTTCTACCAAACCTTTCAAGAAAAACTAACACCAATGCTCCTCAAATTATCCCATGACATAGAAAAGGAGGGACACTTCCAAACTCAATTCTATGAAGCTAGTATCACTATGATATCAAAACCAGACAAAGATACATCAAGAAAAGAAAACTTCAGACCAATATCCCTCTTGAGCCTAGATGCAAAAATTCTTAATAAAATCCTGGCAAATTGCTTACAAAAGCATATTTAAAAGATAGTGCACCATGATCATGTGGAGTTCATTCTAGGGATTCCGTGTCGGTTCAATGTACAGAAATCAATAAATGTAATTCATCACTTCAACAGACTTAAAGAACCACATGATTATCTCAATAGATGCAGAAAAAGCATTTGACAAAATTCAGCATCCATTCATGTTCAAAAACCCTAGAAAAACTAAGGATAGTAGGAAGATACCTTAACATTATAAAAGCTATATATGCTAAATCCAAGGCCAATATTACTTTAATGGAGAAAAATTCAAAGCATTCCCTCTAAAACCTGGAGCAAGACAGGAATGCCCTTTTCATCACCTCTGTTCAACATAGTCCTTGAAACCCTAGTCAGAGCAATTAGACAAAAGAAAGAAATTAAAGGGATACCAATAGGAAAAGAAGAGCTCAAACTGTCCCTATTTGCCAATGACATGATTCTATATTTAGAAGAAAAACACTCATCAAAAAGCTTCTTGAACTCAAACAATTTCATCAAAGTAGCAGGATTAAAATTAACACCCATAAATCAATTGTATCCTAAACACCAATGACTTATCAGCTGAAAGAGAAATTAGAGAATAGAGAAAACTATCCCATTCACAATAGCCTAAAAAAAAAAACCAAAAAACCCTT